TACTTACTGAATAAGAATGTCTACAATGCTTTGCCAGTTCACACGACTCACAATGAAGACTCGATAAAGACACTCCCTTAAACATATCTGGAAACAAATGACTCAAAGTAGAAAAAGACAAATGACCAAACCGAAAGTGACATAAAAAGACTTTGTCAATAGACTCTGACAAGACCGACTCTAAGGCAACTCCATGAGGTGGTCCAAAAGCTCTATCTAGTGTGTCTAGCAAGTATATTCTGTTCGCCTCATGGCCACTCCCAATCATCCTCTGAGATTGCAGGTCCTGAAAAACACAATGAGTGGGAAAAAATGTTATGCTACAATTCATGGATTTAGTTAATTTGTTAACAGATAAAAGGTTTGTATTAAGTTTAGGGACATGAAGGACAAAGGATAAATAAAGGGTGTCAAAGGTCTTTATATCCCCTTTACCAGAAATGGGAGCAAGAGACCCATCAGCAAGGGATATTTTCTCTTTACCAGAGAGAAGGTCGTATGAGCAGAAGAGATTAGACAGGCTGGTCATATGGTCTGATGCACTGGAATCAATAATCCAAGGGATTTTATGATTACCTGAAACTGAAGCATGATTTGCAGAAGCACAAATACCTGAGTGAGCAAATGTAGATGAAGATAATGTGTTGCTGGAAGAGTGAGATGAAGAAACGGTAGTTTCCAAGTGATTTAGCAGCCTCCCATACTTTTCAAAATCCGCCTTCATTGCTGCCAACCGCTCAATGGTTGATTTTTCTTCACTCTCCTTATTTCCTCCATGTACTATAGCAACATTAGCTGTCTTAGGCTTTCCTACTTGCCTGCCCTTCTTAGAGCTGTTGTTATTCTTAAACCTATCAAGAAGAAGATCAGGATGAAGCTTCCAACAAGTGTCCTTTGTATGCCTCAGTTTCTTGCAATATTCACATATCTGCTCCTTTTTCTCAATAGGGCCCTTTGATATTATTCCAGCATGTGCAAAGTATTCTGTAGGTGGACTCTGTAACTGAACCTTCCGCCTACTCTCCTCACTGCTTATCRTAGCGTATGCCTGGGAAAGAGTAACCTCATCTTTGACCAGGATATTTTGCCTAATGATGTCAAACTCATGGTTAAGTCCAGGTTTACACTAGATATTGACTGTTATTTTTGTCTTATATTGACCTAAAGTAGGTTTAATAGACGAATTATGATTTTCTTTGTTTCTTTTTTATTTCACTTTTTGGTTCTTTGAATGGGTTGAGTGGTCAATGTACATTATCAGATCATTGTACCTTTGACGAGCCTCAGTGTCTTGATGTTTGGTCTTGGTTTCTACCTGTGACCCAAAGGATGGGATTCAGTCATAGTTGTCAAGGCGATGCTTAGGTGACAAGGCGCCCTTTGAGGCTCGCCTCGCCTAATCGCCTAGCAGTTTTGTACTATGTATTGTAAAATACTTTTTTATTCTTTATTTTTTGACATTATAATTATAACATAGGCACTATTAAACTAAAATACTCATTTTGTGTGTTTATATACTAATTTGTTTTTATTATTTTCTTATTTGTTAGGATTTAATCAATACAAACATTGCTAAATGCTGTATTGAACCCTCAAAGACTTTAAAACYTGAACCAATAAGTAAGGAAGAACTTGAAATTTTGTCTAATCAATAAGTAAGGAAGAACTTTAAAACCTGAACCAATAACAAAAATAAGGGTTCAGACCCTATAGTTTTTGAATTTTCTTTTCCTTCTCTTTTTTCTTCTTCTCATGAATATGTTTATTTTCTATACTTTAACATGAACTCTATACTTTTCTTATGAAAACTATGAATAATTTTTAAGGAAATATGGCTATGGTACCTAGGGAACTACCCTAGGATCTATATTTTCTATATAAAAAAGTTCATCGCCTAGGCGACGCCTAGGTGCTCGCTTAGGTGCCTAGGCGACAAGGCGCCCCCCTGATGCCCAGCCTTGCCTTGGTGCCTTGAAAACTATGGATTCAGTATGGTGAGTTTGTTTCACCTTCTAATATGTAGATAAGTAGTACCCCACCCCCTCCTTGAATGCTTACTATTTGTGATAAAAGTGGTACAGTTCCCCCTTTCATGTGAATACTCATGTATCTAACCTGTGGAAAATTTTAAAATTCAATTTGATTAATCCAATGGTTTGAAGTAGTCTAATCTCTCTATTAGCGGTGACCAATTTGTATAACTGTTTTAATTGACCTCTATGTGCTTTTTTTTGTGTTTATTTTAAATTTTCACAGGAGAACCTTGTGATTTATACCACTGTGTGCTTGAGAGCAAATCATTTCTTGAAAAAATGACTGTCATTGAACACACAGTTCCTTTTTTTTTGCCAATACGTGAAGCAGAAAATGATTTTCTCTCTTCCAATGCAATGGTAATGTTGTTTGGCATCATTGGTGTATTTACTGATTTCAGTATACCTGTTTCCGTTTAAGCTTTTCACTATTAATTCATTTGGATATACTTAAGGTTATTAAACTAATGTTCAAGTGTTGTTTTCAGAAATTCATCGATTACATTGGAGAACTTTTGCAGGCCTATGTGGATAGACGGGAACAGGTACTTTATTAATGTTTATAACATAGTAAAATGAAACTAGTATTTTGTCTCGTGACTACTACACATCGGTTCTATGCTACTCATTGCACAACCTTTATCAACACAAATGTTTTTAAAATTTCATCTCCTATGGTGCATGCAATCAAGGTTCTAGAAGGGGTTGTAGCAACAGCCGTGCTCGCATGTGAACATTGGGAAAGAGTGAACTCAAGTATCAGCAACCACATGGACATGTGGTGAAGCCCTAATTTGCCCATGTGGTTTAGATCTAACAAAATGACCACTTTCTGGAGTGGGAAAGTTCCTTCCCCTATCCTGTGGGAGTTTCTATTAAATAGGGGGGTCTCCGAGGATCCCCACATGCATTCTGATAGAAGCCCTGTGTATCTGCTGAACTTAGAACTCATCCTCTTCTGTGCTATCAACCACACAGAAACCTCCCCACTCCGCCAATATCGTCTTTCAGGTAGACCTCTGTAGTGCCTTCCCTTCCTACTCACAGATGGAAGATTATGGAGGCATCGAGCATAGTGTAAAAATATCGGAAACAAAACTCGATCATATGGAAGGTACTCTTCTGTTGGTACCTCAGCTGTAAATTTGTTCTTTATTTAAATTTTTTTGAGACCATGCTTGGGAAATACATTTTCTGTTGCTAAGAGTGAGAGAGGACATTCATAAGAGAAAACTCAATTCTTTATTGCTCAAATCAGAAAACAGCACAATAAGAGTAAGGTGAATGGCAGTTTATTAGGCATATTGGTACTCTTATATAGACCAATCAGAAACTAGCAACTTACTGGTTATATTTAGGTTAAGTTTGGGAGTGCTTATTCAAATAAGCACTTATTTTGGGCCAGGACCACACCAATAAGCACTTATTTGCGTTTGAGATTTAAGTGCTTATTCCTTTCTGGCTTGTCTCGACTCACCACACCATTTTTAAAACACCCATACTACCCCTGTTTGAAATAAGTGTTTTTTCATCAAATGCTCATGAGTTCTTATTAGAATAAGCTCTTATTTTTAAGCACTTATTTTTCAAATAAGCACTCAAACTCAACCTTACTCTCTACCTCTTATATTCAAATTGAAATATTCAAACTATGACACCTTTATAAATATCTTACAATTCCACTAAAACTAACTTAATGTCAGGAACCATAAATTACTATAAATGATGGTACAGAAAATTACTATAAATAGTAAGTGTCAAAGTTGATATTATTAGTAATTTCCTTATTTACTAAGGATAATACATTTCTAGAATATTGAAACATAACTAGAAATAAACTTTAGACTAAAATCTAAATCACCTAGAAATTATGAAACTGCCTTTGGTTCATGAATATGAAAACTCTTGATTGCTTCTTTCCTGGTTTCTTTTGCATTATTGTTTACTTCTATATGTTCAGTTATCAAACTGCACTAATCAAGGTTTAAAGTTTTGCAACATATTGAGCCATATTGTTCCAACAAGGACCTGACACACACAACATGTAGAAACTAGAAATCACCTGCTGCATCCCTTTTCGTATGTATTGGGATGATTCTAGCTCATATCAGACAGGCTGATAAGCCTATTGGCCGATACTTGCCTCTCTCTCTTTCTCTTATTAATCTTTTGTTAGTTACACCTAATTTGAATTCTCATTAATTAATCCTATATTTAAAGCATATTTTCAAATTTGAATTTGAATTTTGGTAGTTTCTCAGCGTCTCAGTTTGGCAAGAGTGCAAATACAAATATATTCAGTGCAAAATCTTGTATATGGTATTTCTAGACCTCGTATTTGAATTGTACATATTTGTATTTGCACCCTTTCCACACTAAGCCTTAAACGCTCCTACATTTTTCTCTCTCATAATCTTTCCTTAATTACAAACTAGACAAACCATTCATTTTTGTGCTTATAATTATTGCAAATAGGAAAATTAATGTAATGATCATAAGTCCATTACTAGGCCATACTCCATTTCCTTGCTATAATTATATGAATTTTGATTTTTAAGTAAACTTATATTGATTTTTGGAAAGATAAGGTATATACATGCACATTTTAGTTCTTTCATCATTTTTCTATCTTTGATAATTGTGTATCGATATATCTCATACTTTATATAGACCAATGAAATATGTTTTTTTTTTTATTTTTTTATTTTTTTACGTTTAAATATATTATTTGAAGCCATTTAAAACTTGTATTTATTTGTTATTATTAATACTTTAAAGATTTATTTGAGTTTCTAAGCATATCCCAAGTGTATCTCGACACGTTTCTTAAAATTGCCTAGTACACCTTGCCTTTCTGATACTTGATTAGTGATGTTTATTTCCCATTGGCACCAAGTTATTGATGATCTTTATTTCCACTTGATTTTGACGATACAACCTCATAAGAGCATCTAGATCAATACTAAGTTCTTCTAAGAGAAGTATCAACTACAAAAATTCAGAAACATTGTTTCATACACAGACATATATATTCATATTTATGTATATACTAGTAAACATGTACGTGCATTTGCACTTGACAATATCTCCATGATAAAACTATTTACAATTCATGGGCAGATTTTGAACAGCTATAAATGGGCAGTTTCTTAATTGTTATAAGTGGGTAGTTTTTGGAGTGAGAGTAAAGGATATATATGCCCTCTTTATGCCTGTTGTATGCTGCTTAGATAAGGGGTAGTTTTTGGAGTGAGAGTAAGGATTTATATGCCCTCTTTATGCCTGTTGTATGCTACTTAGATAAGGGGTAGAAAATGTCCAATGGAAATTCCAGAAAAAAGAGGCATTCACTCTTTTATAGGTAGTATAGATATGATAATACAATTCATATATTTAAGAATATATGCTTATGAAATTTTATATATGTTAGAGTATAATTTAATTCTTTTATAGCCAATTCTTATATTTTTGTTACATTTTTATTTTTAATAAGAATCCAATATGTTTGGAATTTTATTTTGTATTTTATTTCATGTTTATAACCTTCTATTAGAAATTTTGTACTTAATTTATTCATAATTTTATATTTATTATTTTAATTTGCAATTTCTATACATTTAGGATGCAATTAATTTATTTCATAGACAAATTATATGGTTACTTTTTTATCACATATATAAATTTGTATTAATATGAATCTTTCATTTTTTAATTTTATATTTTTTATTTTACAGTTGTAACAGTTGTATATATGTATAATATTTCGCTTTTATGCTCTTATGTATCAGCTTTCATATATGGAGTGTTAAAATTTGGTTTTTGCTAAATTTGTAGTTCTACATGTATCATGATATATATTATTTATTTATTTTAGAATTGAAGAAAATCAATAGTATCATTCTTTTTGTTTGTGGATTGTATGGTCCACTGCCATGTGTCATAGGTGAATACATGAATGGAGATGATATTCACATGTGGTACATTAAGACCTGGAATGGCACATTAATATTATTTTATTTAGTAAGAGAAGCAAATAGATATTTTTTGGGTTAAAACGAATATTATGAGATTTTTTTTTTAATTTAAATTGTCTCATTTTTTAATTGTAACTAATGAAATACAGTTTTATTGAACTATATAGTGCAATATATATATAATATTTTGTATTTTTATTTCTTTTCAGAATTTTAATGCTGCCTAGAAATTCCTCGCCATGATGTGGTGAATAGTTATTGCTTGTGTATGTATGGTGTGGTTGGGTTTGGGTGGGACTCAAGGGAGGTGAGGTCATCTCATGGGGTTTGTGTTTGGATGAGGAATATGAGTTTTCATTCAGCATTCTTTACCATGTGTAAGGTTCAAAGTATTGATACACCTTGATACACTGGAGGGGGTGTATCGGTACTTCATACCTAATGTAACATTTTTTTAACTGTTTATAATTTTCCTTAACCTTAAAAGAGCTGTTTTAGGAGGAGGCCGTTATGATACAACAAACCTGATACAGGGTGATTGGGAGGTTATGTGATATTTGTCCAAAGGTTGTATAAGTTGATTTAGAAGGTCATTTCAATTGCTTAAAGTTTTGAAGTTAACCAAGGAGTTGATGTTCAGTTTCCTATTTTTAGAAGAGAATACCACTATTAGATGGGAAGGTGGAGTACATAAGGTTGTCTAAGTTACAAGCTGTTGGTGGAAGGAGTGTAGAATTGATCCATTTTCAATAAAACCCTATCACAAAATACTGGCAAGCAAGCAGGTGGAAAGTGTTGGAAGGGTTAGAATCCATCTTATGGGTAGTGGGTGCTGCTTGGGCAATCTGGGTGAATATAGTGTGGGATGAAAAAGGCATTAGTTTGTCAGGGGTGCCTGTTAGTTTGTTAGGCATTATTCGATGGCTATAATCCATGGCCTCGAGCTGATTCCACAACACAGCATAGTTGTCAAGGCGACTAGGCAGTTTTTCATGGTTGCCATGCCCAAACACCACAAGTTTTGCATATTAGGTGCCTGTCTAGAGACTCAAGTGGGCGCCTAGGCAGGTGCCTACATCCATCTAAAAAATTATTATTTTTTAAACTTTTTGATATTTTTATTGGATGTTTTATTCTTTTAAAACAAATCTGGTTACATGATATCATTTTAGTATTAAGACCAACTATATAGCCTTTTTTTCTTTATGTCAAGGGTTTTTTTTTTTGGTTCGATTGGAGAGGGAGGAGAACCGAAGACTTCAAGCCTGTAAAGACTGTTGGAATAGACCAACAGAAAGCAATTAATCAGTTTTACAAGAGGAGGCCACGTCAGCACAAATAATCATCCACTTGCAACAGCTGTAACAGAAAGAAATCAAGATTGTAAAACAATATAAATAGAAAAGCACAAGGGAAATAAGACATTGATTCTTTCAGCACTAATCTCTCTCTAGCTCTCTCTCTCTCTCTCTCTCTCTCTCTCTCTCTCCTTCCAAGAATTCAGGAGGTTGGCCCCTCGAAGAGCCCTGAGTTAGGCAGGTTCCTAACAAGTTGGTTTCAGAGCCAACATG